GGTAAGGTGCTTTCCTTCCATGTCCATGCTCCCAAATTTTCTTTCTTTCTTTCTTTCTTTCTTTTTTTTTTTTACAAGAGACTTTTGATATAGGATGCATGCACTCCCCACAGAGACAGAAAGTGTGTCTCTTTCACTCTTTTACCCGGGGTGTGTGGGGGGATGGCCATGCCACTACTCCCCACAGAGACAGAAAGTGTCAGTCTCTTTCACTCTTTCACCCGGGGTGTGTGGGGGGATGGCCATGCCACAATCCTTTCTCCTCCATTCTCCTCTCAGGATTTTGGGCATGCACGTACACATGCCTGGTGTGTTTCAAGCTGCCAGGTCCAGGATTCAAACCACAGTTGTCTGTGTGAGAATCCAGTGATTTAACCATGATGCCATTTGCTTGTCCCCATGCTCCTAACTTTGCTTTAACATCATCGACCACTATGACACTTATTTAGGGGTTGAGACTGTAGCAGGGCAAGACACATGTAAAGGAAACTAAGAGCTATTTGAGAGTTGACAAAGGTTCTTTGCTTACCCAAACTTTAGGCAGGCCCAACTATGAGTGTCTTTGTAAAATTCAGTTTTAAAAATGAATCTTGCTAAGTCAGTTCACCAGAGCCCCCGATCCTTGATATCTGATTAGGTTCTTCTGGTATCTCCCCCGCCCCCCCCAGGAAATATCTGCTCACCCTGGCCTTCTTCAGGAAGAATCCTGTTAGGTATGTTTATCCAGAATCCTCATTCTGATGCTTCCTCCTAATAATTTTTCCATCCATTGATCCTCATCCTGCTCCTTGGCTATAAATTCCTACTCACCCATGCTGTATTCAGAGTTGAGCCCAATCGCTCTCTGCACTGCCAGAGCCCATTGCAGTGGTCCCTATTCCAACGGTTCTGAGTCAAGTGTTCTTCACTGTGCTCTAATAAGTATCAGTGAACTGCTATTTCTTTTTTTTTTTTTCCACAAAGCACAGAAAAGGGTAGTCATAGTCAACAAGTTTATTATTGTAAACCTCAGAATACCTAGAAAAGAGGCTTTTGAATGTTCCCAACACAAAATAATAATAGTTGAGATGATAAATATGCTAACCATTCTAATTTAATCATTATACACTGTGTTCTTGTACTGAAATCATATTGTACCCCATAAATATGTACAACTATTACATGCCAATAAAAATTTTTAAGTGTCATTTTCCGGTGTTCATTTCTCTTCCTCCCTCATAGGCTCTAAATTTCAGGGGTTTTTTTCTTTTTCTTTTTTTTTTCTTTCCTTTTATTTTTTTTACAACTAAAGTATGAATTTATTTTGGTACAAAAACTTTTTTAAATTCATACATAGTTTTCCCATTACATGTATTTCCAACCTATGGGCAGCTCAAGACAGGACAAAAATCCTTAAAACTGGAAAACAAAGCCTAGAAGAAAATCAGCAATGTTTTAGTCAAAAGTCATAAAATGCTATTTCACCAGATCAGTCTCATGTACTTTATCTTCTGTTGTGGTTTGATCTTCCCAGTTAAATTCTGGGATATAATATTCAACTTCAGACTGTTCCCTATGATTAAGCTGACCATTTTCTTAGTTTTTGAACTCTTATTTCTGCGTGTCTGAATTTAATTTTTCTGGTATAGCACTCCCTTGAGAACTTCTTGGAGATCTGGTCTGATGTTGGTAAATTCTTTCAGGTTTTGTTTATCTGAGAATGTTCTTGTCTTTTCTTTCCATATGAAGGATAATCTTGCCAGGTACAGTATTCTTGGTTGAAATTGCTTTTCCTTTAACTCTTCGAATATATTTTCTCATTCTTTTCTTGCTCACATTGTTTCTGATGAGAGGTCTCCTGTTAGCCTGATGGAATTTCCTTTGTAGGTAACTTGTCATTTCTCTCTTGCCAATCTTAGTATCTTGTCTTTGCCTTTGGTTTTGGTCAATCTGGCTATATAATGTGTCTTGGAAAAGATCTTCTCGGGTTGATTCTATTTGGGGTCCTTTGTATGTCTTGGGATTGGATGTTTGAGTGCTCCTCTAGATTTGGAAAGTTTTCTTTCAGGATTTCATGGAATAGATTATCAATGCCCTTATGA